TTTCATAACTCCTTTAATATAATTAATTTATGAACAATTTTTTTTAATTAATAAACGTCTTTACCAGACAAATCGAAAAATATATAAAAAAAAAAAATTATATAAACTAATGCAATCATGAAAGATTTCAATTTGAAATCTCTCATAACTAAAAAAACAAAAAAAAAGGAAAACAAAAACTTTGACTTGCAACAAAAAAATTAAAAAAGTAAAAACACTATTTTGTGCAGAATTCTATGCTGATTATTTTAGCCAAAAAAAGAATTAAATTACCTTTTGAAATAATTGAAAAAAACGAAAAACAAATTTGCGACCAGCCAAAAAAAAAGACGCCTAATTCCGGATAGAGGTAATTATTATTTTATGTACCTAAAAAAAACAAACAAACAAATTAGCCAGCAGCAATAAACAAATACACTTTTGAGTCCCGGGTACAGTTAATTACAATTGGCAATTTTATTTTTTATCACTTTCATGCACATAATATAATATATTATAATCATTAAAGTAATAAAAAATAAAATAGCCACAAGGGAAAAAATAATTGACACTAATCCACATACAGCTATTTTTTTAAAGGAAAAAAATAAAGTTAACACATTTGTGTTAATTGTATTACTGTATCAAAGAATATGGATAATTTCAAACAAAAAGAAGAGCCGAAGCCAACTAGCTATTCAAGCTATTACTGAAAAAAAAATGTCATACGTACAAGCTGCTAAGTGTTATAGTGTGGCAAAATCTACACTTTTTGACAGAACAAAAGGATCATCTAATAATCGAGGAGCGCCAAGAAAGATGAGCAACATCACTGAAGCTATTATTGTTGATTTATTAAAATTTATGAGTGATATCGGCTTCGGCTTGAATAGAAAAGACGTGTTTATTGTTATTGAAAACTATTTAAAAGAATCAAACCAACGTAGTCTATTCAAAGACGGCAAACCGACTAGAAAATGGTACTCCGGTTTCATGAATAAATATCGTAAAGAAATTTGCCCAAGAAAAGTAAGCGGTATACAAACTATTAGAGCTGTGGCCACACAACCAACTATAATTGACAATTGGTTTGAGCAATTAGCAGTAGCATATAATGAACATAATTTAGGCGATAAGCCGTTTCAAATATTTAACTGTGATGAGTCATTTGATCAAGGCAAAGTCAAAATTATTTGTAAAAAAGAAACAAAAAACCCTAAAAAGCTAGCACCATCGAATAAAAAGCAAATGACGACAATCTTGACTTGTTGTGTCGTAATTATTTACCTCATCAAATAATTTATAAAGGCAAACATGTTATAAAAGACTGGTGCAAAGGCGGTGCCCAGAATGTTTATTATAACAGTAGTAGTTCAGGCTGAATGGAATCCGCACATTTTTTGTCGTGGTTTGAAACAGTTTTTTTGCCTCACGCAAACAAACTTTCAGGATTTAAAGTTCTAATACTTGATGGCCATGCTTCACATATCAGCTTAGAGTTGAAAAAAAAAGCTTTAGAAAATTATATTTTACTTTGGCGTTTGCCGGCTCATACCAGCCATTTTTTACAGCCACTAGATGTTGGCTTTTTAAAACAGTAAAAGGAGCATGGAAGAGAATTGTCGAAAGTTATTTGACTAAAAAGCACTTTCAAAGTCTGACTAATCGATATTTTCTGCCATGTTTAAGGATCTCATCCAAAATGGTGGGTTTAAACCTGAAAATGCACGGAGTGGTTTCAAAAATACTAGTATATTTCCACTCGATTGTTTGCAAATTTCTTTTAAAAAAACTTCCATTGGTGCTGTGTTTCAAGCTGTCGAAAACAACAATATTAAAAATTTATTTGATTCTTCAACAGTATCTAGTCCATTAGTTATGGGAAATGCTACCAATACACTTAATACACCGTCAAGAATGTCAAATCGTGAATTTTTGCTTAAAAGCTTTGCTACTTTGAATAATGCTGTTCAACAAGTGGGCAAAGATATAAACAAATCGAGATCAATTGACACCAACTCTAAATAAAAGAGTTCAAAAAAGTGAGCGAATAAAGCGACCAGCTAATTATAATATGACTTTGGCGGATACCATAGCTTACGATGAAGCTGAACAAGCATCAGAAAAACAAAAATTAGATGAACAAGCTGCAAAGAAATTTACTAGAGAACAAAAAAAGATTTCCACTGCTACTCAAAAAGCGAAAAATACACAGAGAAGAGAAGAAAAAAAAAAGTTGAGACAAAGTCAGTCGTCTAAAATACCAGGTAAAAAAGGTATAAAGACAAAGAATCAATTAGAAGACCCTCATTTTCCTCAAGCTTCAAATAACATTTTAGTATCTGATGATCTTCTATGTTATTCATGCGAAATTAATTGGACAAATAACTTAGATAACTAATGGCTTGCGTGTGAGCAGTGTTCAAATTGGTCATGCATTGAATGTGTCTTTGATTATCGTCCAACCATGGAATTTATTTGTAACAAATGTGTATAAAATTATATATATTCTTTTTTTATTAAACGATTTCATTTTATTAATGGATTAAAATAATTATTTTAATGTTAGTATTATTTGTGTGTGTTTTTCTGTATTTTATACGCATCTGGAATTAGGGACATAAACACCTAATTCCGGATAAAAACAATATTTTTTAAAAATAAAATAAAAAATAGATTTATATTGCAAAAGTAATACTTTTTATATCGTTTGATTTGTCTTGTTATGAAGTTTATTTATTTAAAAAAATTATTTCAAAATTCTTTATATTGAGCTAGTTATGACAATTTAAGTCCTAAACCATCCGGAGTTAGGGGTTTTAACGGTATCTTTTTCCAGGAATTAAACTTTATTCTAAAATTTGCGCTTTTCTGTTACGTGCGTGATTTCGTTTCAAACTTAAATTTTTTTTTGATAACATTACTGATGCATTTTTTTTTTTTTACTAAATATTTATACAGATTTGAATTAAATGTCAATAAAATAGATAGTAGACGAAACTTATTCAAGTTTCCGTGCGTAATTTTTTGGAAATGCCCAAATCTAAAATTGCGCCCAAACGCTTTCCCGCGATTTTTTCGATCAAACACAATAAGATAGCTATTTATTTACTACATTATTATGATAATTGATATTTATCGTTTTTAGATTACTGCTTCATCTTAAGTTAAATATTTATAAAGTTAAATTTAGTGCATCTTTAATTAATTCAACTTAAATCTTTTCATTCTTATAATTTAATCCCTAAAAGTCACTTAAGTTCATACTTTAAAGACTATAAACTTAGCGAAACCTGCTTTAAATATAAATCATAATCAATAATATTTTTTAGATTTAAAATGTTATTCATTTTTGCTTTTTATATATTTTTAATGAATTTTAACTGAATTATGTTTAGTGAAATGGGAACTTTTCTGATAATACTAGTAACTAGTACATATATACACGAAAACTATTGTCGTGTATATATGTATTGCCTTAACAATAATATGGTACATTATATACATCTAAACTATAGATGTAGTACTACATGTACTATTATGATACTAATATGGTACATTATACTCCTACTATGGTACATTGTATACATCTAAACTATAGATGTAGTATTACATCTATAGTTTATATGTATATAATGTACCATATTATTGTAAAGACAATACATATATACACGACAACAGTTGTTGTGTATATATGTACTAGTTACTAGTATTATCGGAAAAGTTCTACCATGAAAATCCATTTTAAATGTATACATCTATCCAATAGTATTATAGTACTAATGGATAGATGTATACATTTAAAACGGATTTTCAGCTTCTAGGTTTTATAATGTTTGTATTATATAAGCATAATATTAACTTTTATTGCAGTTATCACAAGTTTTTTTTTTTTTACTAACATATATTAGTAATGTACATTTAGCATTAGTAAACTTATCAGTAACATTTAACGATTGTGATGTCATCATTGTAACATCAGTAAATGTACATTTAGCATTTTTTATTGTTGTTTGTCTGTTAGAATTTTGAGTATAAACTAAGCACATTTTTATACACAGTTTAAACACTTAAGGTAGAATTTAGTACATATATTATAATATAATATGTGTACTAAATTTTAAAACAAGTGTATAAACTGAGCATAAAAATGTTTCTAAAAAATATTTTTTATTTTAACAAAGTAAAACATGCTACATTGATATATTTTTATATGATATAAAATTATATCAATTTAGCATGTTTTACTTTGTTAAAGTAAGAAATATTTTTTAAAAACATATTTTCCAACTTTTTTACTTAAATGCTATTCCCAATTTTTATACAAAAATCAAAATAATTTAAATAAAATGCAATATTTAATATATATAAATATATATATAAATATATATATATATATATATATATATATATATATATATATATATATATATATATATATATATATATATATATATATATATATATATATATATATATATATATATATATATATATATATATATATTATATATATATATATATAATATATATATATATATATATATATATATATATATATATATATATATATATATATATATATATATATATATATATATGTTTATTAGGATGGTTCTTTATATGCTTGTTTATATTGTAAACATAAGAATGCTTTTAATAATTTATGGACAGTGTACAACCTTGTAATTTATAAAGTTGTGCATTTCCTAGGGATTGATATTATCCATAAATTGTTAAAAGCATTTTTATATCAAGAATAAAAAACTTGTTTATTTCCAAACAGGTTAGCCTAGATCTTAAAAAATGTTGAGTTAAATAAGGAATTTAAATCACTTGTAATATAAATTAATGCTTTTAAAATTAATGCTGAAAAAAAAAAAAATTTAATTGCTAAAAATTTATTTTTATATATTTGTTATGAAAATAAATATTGCTTTTGAGACTCAGATTAACCAACTTAAAAAAAAATTATTAAACTTGCATTACTTGTTTACATTTTTAAGTTTTTTTTTAATATATGTTATTATTAGAATATTACAAATAATTGTTATGTATAATGATTAATGGTTACAATGGAAGAGTTGGAAGCTATAATAGAAAAAGTGAAATAGCAGAGAATAATAACTATGGAAAAGTTTAAATTATATGAGGTGAGGTTGTTTTATTTATTTTTTATACTTTAAAATCAAATGCTTGTTTGGAATAAGCAATTTATAAAGTTTAATCAGAAATATGAAACATAATATATATATATATATATATATATATATATATATATATATATATATATATATATATATATATATATATATATATATATATATATATATATATATATATATATATATTATATGTATGTATGTATGTATGTATGTATTATATTAAGCAGTCGTAGTGCAGCGATTAGAGTTCAAGATGTTTAAGTTTTAATTCCCGCTCTAGCCCTTTAAGCAACAATGGTAAGGAAAGAGGAATGAATTTCTTGGTTAAGTGCTTCTCTGCAGTGCTCTGTGTTCGAGACCATTAGATCTTCTTGAAGCACTTTAATAGCTAAATAAGGTTATCATTATTTAACATGAAAGAAATTATTTAGATATATAATACTGATCAACAAATAAGTTTTTCACTGTTTTTGAGGAAACATTATGTCTTTTACTATATTTCTTATTTTGAAATCAATTATGCAATCCTTTTTCTTCTCCCAAATCGAGTTTTAAAGATATTTAGGTTCAAATCCCATTTAGCCTAAAATCTCCAATATTGTAATTAATTTATTAAAAAGTTTTATCATAGAGTTGCAGAAAAGCATTTTACTTGGAAGTTCCTTTTACCTTGCAATGTTTGAATCAAACCTTAGATCTCTTGGTTCTGAGCCAAAATTCTAACTCCAAAACTGCAACTGTAAATCTTTATAAAATTAAAATGTATAGATTTCTCTGTATAATAATAATATGAATTAAGCATTATTGTTCAATAATAAATTAGTATGTATACTTTTAGAAATACAGTAGTGTGTAAAATATTAGAATTAACTAAATAAAAGCATAAAAATAATTTGTAAATTTTTTATTTAGTTTAAATCAAATACTTTATTAATCATATTTTTTTTTTTTTTTTAACTTTTTAACAAGTGTGCCATTTTTTTAATTTCAGGCATATTTCCTAGATTTTAGGGTCATTATTTTTTCATCCATTAAAAACCTTGGTATTATTTTCTTTAATTTCTTTTAGCTGATCTTTTTTCGTTTTTCTTGCACTAAACCAATCAGATTAGAATAGCAGATGCTATTATGACCAACTTTTATATTGCAATCTGAGCATTTTAAAGTAAAGTATAAAGTTTTTAGGATATTAACTACTTACTAATTGTAAACTACATTTTCACAGTGTTTATCTGAGGAAATGCATGAAGTTTTAGTAAGGCTTTTTCACAATCATCAAAACCTTACTAGTAAGGATAAAAGGGTAGCTTACAAGGATTGTTGATATAACCAAGTTTTGCCATATTCTTTTGTTATACTGAATAATATTAGTGTTTCTATAAATAAAAACAAAAAACAAATATATACTAATTTAAATAAAAGCAAAGCAATAAAATTGTTATTTATAGAATGACAATATCGGTGTCACAATTGAAATTGATAACAACAAGTCATCAAGAAACCAAGGTCAGAGGTTTAAAAGTTATTACTCTTTGTTTACATTGATATACTTGTACTATTTGCTGTGTACTTTTATATATAGTGCAGGCTAGTATATAAATATTACATGAAATTATGAACTGCCCAAATATTTTATTTAATATTTTTAGGATAACTTTAATTTGTTCCAAACATTATAATCAACTTCTTTTTTTTTTCAACTTCTTTTTTTGATTTTGTTATGTTAAATTGAAACATGGAGGAAAAAAATTTTTTTTTTCTTTTCTTTTTGTTACAGTTGACATGCATGACAACATAACAGATATTATTGTTCTGACATATATATATATATATATATATATATATATATATATATATATATATATATATATATATATATATATATATATATATATATATATATATATATATATATATATATATATATATATAAATATATATATATATAAATATTATATATATTAACTGTAAACTACTTATAATATCTGTTCTGACAGATATTATTATTGTTAGAGAGACTATTATTGTTATTTAATTTGTTTATGATATAAAAAATTAAAGTCTTATTTTACAAAAATTAAATTTTTGTCATAACAAGTTTAACTTATGTATAACTGTATCTTTGTTTTAGTTTATGTATATATATTCAAGTTAGATATGAATCAAATTACTTGTATCTCAGTTTGTAAATAACAAACAAACATTTTCTTAACTTTTGGTTTACAAACAAAGTAACAAAATATATAAATTATAATTTATACAAATAAAAAATTATTTTTCTATTAATGATTTGCTTTTGCTTCATAATGATTTTTCAGCTAACATGTTGTACAAAGATGCTACAAACAGATTTAGTACTAATAACATTAGTCTATTAACTCCTTATCCAATCTATAATCATGTTAATTGTGAATTTTTGCATTATGATACCATAAAAATGGTTGCTGATGAAGATACAAACTCAATTAAAGGTAGGTATAATTAGTGACTGTTTTCAAAAAATTACAAGAAACCATTAAGCTTACCTAAAACATCCATTACCTAGACAATTATAAGTTAATATTGGCATTATTAATTTTATAAGGTAAGATTAAATTTATAATTCTAAAATCTAGATCAATATTCAAACTCCTTGAATGACTCAAGAGCATACAAAAATTTACTTGATAAATCTGGTAAAAATGTAAGTGTTTTGAGTTTTGACTATTTGAGTTGGAATGTTTTTTATTATTTGATGGTATTTAAAAACTTTTTATTTTTGTGTTTGCTATATTTCTAATTAATATTTATTAACACCTATCATTTTCTATTTGGTTAATTTTATGGAGTAAAATTACATTTACAAATAAAGTTTAATTCTGATTTATGATTTTTTTTTTTTTTTTTTTTTTTTTGCAGCTTTATGTTGTGGTTTTAATGCTGTTGGTCTGTTGTTAAGATTGTTCATAAATTTAAGTTAAGTCAAGTAGAAGTTACAATTATCTAAAAGAAATTGATCTAAAATTTGTAATTCAATTTTTATATATGCTTATATAATTTAAAAAATTGCTAATACAAAGTATTAAATTGTATTATTAAAAAATAGTGAATTGCTGAGAAAAAAATGTTTTAACTTTATTGGATAAATTTCTATGAAACAATTTTGTAAATTCTATTGAAAATTTTTACAAGGCTTTGTTAATTTTTTCTTAGTACAAAAAATTAAATCTATTTTTAGTACAGAAATTAAATAGTCTCATTAGAGGTAAATGACTAAGGAAAATAAAATGGGTTAATTTGATACCATGCATTTAACTTATGGTACATTACGTTACCATTCAATTTTAAAGAGAATTTGCTCCAAAATGAGCTTTTATCTCTGGGAAATACCCTTAAGCTAATAGTTGATAAAAATAACCCAAACCCATATTAGGTCATTAGTAATTTTAGTAAAACCATATGTGGCTATGACACATTTTATATTGGTGGAAGAGGTCACATGTCTTTATATTATATACCATATGTTTCTCCTATTTATGGTGTCCAAAGTAATTTTATTCTACTTAAAAGACCAGACCAAGAGCGATTGGTCTTGTTTAGATTTGCAATTCTAGGAGTCCAGAAAAACTGTTTTTATATCTTTTTAAAGAACATCATTTAAAATGCATTAAAAATCATTACTTAAACATACAAGTTTCATTAGAGTCTATTATTTAAGTTGCCTTAAAATATAAACATTTGCTTTATATTTAAAAAAAAGTTTATTAACAATTGTTTTTATTACAGTAATTAGTTATTATATCTTATTTGTTAAGTTAAAAAACAAAAGAATTGCAATTGAAAACCCATTCAAATTATATTATGAATATAAATTCTTTGTCATAAATAATAAGAACATTTTTATCAAAGCGTCAAAACTTTTAGATAAGTTCAAAAAGTTTCAAGTTATGTTATACAAATTCAAAATTAAAATGTGCTTTAACAAAACAAAACATATTTAAACATTAAATTGAAAAACATAAGATTTTATATCAACACATATATTAATAATGAATTTCAGTTTTATGACAAAACTTTTGGAAAAGCAAATTTTATCATGTATTTTTTAACTTACGTTTATTAACTTACATAATAATCGCAAAATTTCTTTTGTTAATTTCTTAAAATTTTCTTTATAAAACAAGTAAATTATTTGACCAACAAATTAAAGATTCCAGTTTCATTTCCAAATTAAAATAAATCAAATAATGCAATTAAATTCATGGTTAAAATAATATTTTATGATGATGCATTTTAATAACAAAACTTCATAAAGTAACTTTATTATTAAAGCTTAAATATTCATCTATTAAAAATAGAAAAAAAAAGGATTGAAAATTTACAGCTTCAACATTTTCTGCTGTGGAACACGCAGTAGAGCAGGTCAATTTTCCAATAATTTTGAATAATAGGCATAAAACTAGTTGAGATAATTTCATTCAAGATGTTGTGAAAATTTTAGCTTCTCTTTATACATCAATTTTTGAAGAAACTACACCTAAAGTTTGATAGGCCCTTTTAGTGTGAAAAAAACTTTTACAAAATATAGTCAACCTGGGTCTTGATGCTGATTTTTTAAAAAAAAACCTAGGCAATTGTTTTCTGATTTCAAAAAATCTGAATATATGGTTTAAAAAAGTTCTCTAAAAAAATAATAACAAAAATAATAATAGTAATAATAATAATAATAAAAATAATAGCAAAAAAACACCTAAAAAATTGAACATTTTTTCTCTCAAAAAATCCCAGAAAGCTGTTTTTTTTTAACTATTATAAAGTCTAAAATATTGGTTTACCATGTTATATTTTTTACTGTGGTATATTTTTTACTGTTTTTTTAACAATATAGGAAATATTTATCTCAATATTTTTCTATGAAATATTGGGATTTTTTATTAAAATTGTCAAATTACTTCAAAAAAAAGTCATTGAATTTTAGAAATGTTAAAGCTATTGGGAATTCTGTGATATACGCTGTGCCATTGGGCTGGCTAGCACCCTGATATATAATTTGTAAGAAAATGCAAATGTAGTTCAAACTCAAAAATTAACCAAATCTGAGGTAGTTAGTGTAAGAATTTGCATTTTAGTTAATTTGAATTAAAAAAACTCTTAATATTTTTATTTAAAGCAATCTGTTGTTGATGCTGATGTGCAAGAACTTCGTTTAGTAGATGATTGGCTAATGGTTTTAGTAGAACAGCATCCAAATTTTCCTGTGAAGAAGTTTTTTCAACACTTTCTCTCTTGTCAAAAAAGTGTTATAACAAAAAGTATGTGACAGTGTTGATATTAAATAATGTGTTTAAATCATTTCTATATATATATATATATATATATATATATATATATATATATATATATATATATATATATATATATATATATATATATATATATATATATATATATATATATTATCAAGGAGCGAATATAGTCTTTAAATTCTTTCTTTTATCATTCTCATTTAAAGCCTTTAATACTCAATTCATTATATTGAGTAAATTTATGATATAACAAAACAATAACTTTATTTCTGCAAAAATAATAACAGTCAAAACTTACATAATTTATTGTTTGTTTAAACGTCAGTTAATTCAAGTATTATAATTATTAAAATTATCTGTTTTGTTGCCAAAAAGTCACATAATATACGCCGCAATCTACAGACTTAATAACTTATTCAAGCACGTTTTATTCCTAAGAGTTCTATCTCCTCACAGACATGTTATATTTTATATAACATGTCTGTGAGGTTTGGGATCCCTTAAAGTGATAATTAAAAGTTTTAAAAGATATTTAAAGTTTATACATAGTAAATATTTTTGGTATTAAAAATTATTTAATTTATAAAATTTTAAATTCTTTTCAACACAAATATCATTTAACAATCTTGATTGTTTAATCCATCTTTTGTTGATTTTTTTCTTGTTAATCTTGATAATTTAATAATCTTGATTTTTTAATCCATTTTTTTTATTAGATATCGAAAGAAATGAAGCATCAACAAAAAATGTAAAATCTATTTGGGAACGTGATGCTGAAGTTCAGCTTATCAACAATTTGCAGGATGATCAAAGAAATAAGGAAATAGTAGAAAAAAATGTTGTAAAGAAATGCACTGATGTGAAGGATATAAGGTTGTTGTTAAAAAAAACTGTTAAAAAAAGAGTAAAAAATTGTGAAGAAAAATCACCAGCAAAATGTGAAGCAACAGATGAACTTTTAGATGATTCCATTGTTAATGTTGAAGATTTTGATGAAACTGAAATAAGTCATAAAAAAGAATCTATCAATGTTTTACAGAAAATTGAACAAATGACTAGTCCAACAAAAGTTGATAAAATAAGTATCAATGGGCTGATGAAAAGAGCTCTTCAAAAGCGAGATCAAAGAAAAGCTAGAAGAGACAGAGCAAAGGAGTTTTTTAACTATGATAAACAACTAAATAAAAAAATATCTGTATGTAATAAAAAGGTTGATGACAATAACATCAAAGATGAAGTTGCAAACTCTATTTTATTGGTTGAAGATTTTGATTCTTTGCCAGGAAAAATTCCTAATTCAGTAAATAAACCTACCGAAGATGTAGAATTGGTTAAAAAATCCAAATCTGGAAAAAAAAAAAATTCTAAGGATATACGAGCAATGTTTTTAAAAGAAGAAGAGGTTAAGGAAGATTCTTTAATTAAAATAAAGTCATTGTCTTCCTTTTCTGTAGTTAAAACTTCATCAGATGAAAATGTTTTAACAAATTTATTAAACATTGTTAATGATGAACTTCCATTGAAAATAAGCACTGTTGAAGTTGCAGCTGACTTAGTAACTGCTAGTGTTACTGAAACTTTAAATATTGAGACAGATAAAGTTTCTTGCGTAAAAAATGAGATAAAAAGTTCTTTGTTTCCTACTTCATTTGTTAAGCAGTTTGATATAAGTTTACCAGAGACAGGAATAAACTTTGATGGTGACATTAAATGTATTGAAAAAAATATGGAAATATTAGATCAATATGAAAGTTTACCTGCAAAGTTTGATAAAGCTGAAGATTCTATTGATTGCTTTAAACAACTAATTCAACCTGTTTCTAAAATAGATGAGATTAAAAAGGAAATTTCTGATGTTGAAGGTCCAAAACAGGTTCTAGATAATATAATCAATGGTCATAAACATGATGGCACCAAAAATTGTATTAAAACAAAAACAATCTTTACAAATAAAAAAGCTTCTAAATCTGAAACTTTGAAGAGAAATAAAGAAATGACAAATGACATAGTGAGAATAATAAACAATGAGCAACCAAAATTATGTGAACATTCAGTTGATAGAAGTGAAAACAAAGTTTGTGATTCTTGTAAATGCTTAAATCTTATTGATTTGGAAAGAAATAAACCTGAAGAATGTGAACAAATGAATGTTCGACGATCATCACGACATAAAAGAAAAGTTGATTACTTTGAAGACAAAATTAGTCCACAAAAAACAGATATAAGGGCAAAAAAATTCCCCAAATGTTCTTCTGAGCCTGTTTTAATGTCATCAATGTCACAAGAGTTTCGTATAATAGAAAAAAAATTAGACAATTATGATGATATGGATATTGATAAATCAAAATTAGATTTAGATGAAAAAAAATTAACACAATTAAAGTCTTCCCAATTTAAGGATATTTCCACCAAAGTCAAGCCATCCGTTGGTGAGTATCTTTATTGTAGATACCGCAAAAAAAAAAATTTTCTCATTATGTTTATTTTTAAATCTGTTTTAATGATTATAAAATATTATTAGTAACATCTCTGCTGTTAAGTAGTATCCCTGCTGTTAAGTAACATCCCCACTGTTAGGTAACATCCCTGTTGTTAAGTAACATCTCTGTTGTTAAGTAACATCTCTGTTGTTAAGTAACATCCCTGTTGTTAATTAACATCCCTGCTGTTAAGTAACATCCCTATGCTAAGTAAGGGTGTGAGATATTCAGGCTGTAATTAAGGAGAAGGATAGCACTTTTTATTTATCATTCTTTTAAACTTTTTTGATACTGATTTTTAGTATGATTTTTTAGAGCATTTGGCTGTTTTTCAACTTATAATTTATTGTGAGATTTGATAATCTAATAGAGTTTTCTACAAACCTTCTAGTCAACTATGATATATGCACATAAAATTTTGTAAAAGTTATAAAATTTTGTCAACAAAAAAAAAAAAAAAAAAAGTCTGTGGATTATTTTAATGAATGCATTCTGAAAGCAGTTCATGTATTTTAGCAAATTTTTTTACAAGTTATTCTTTAATTTCATAATTTAATTATCTAAACTTCATTGTCATTCTTCAATATGATTCAAGCTTTATTTGCAATTTTAGGTTTTTAAAAAGAACTTTTAAACATTAACACATGTATTTACTAAGTTTTGCTTTGTCTTGAATTACAGAAGTTTGAATTTGCATAGATTTTTTTGTCATAGCTCTCTAAACTCAGAAACTTCACTATTTGCTCTTATTAATTTTTTTTTTTTTAAGTATTTTTTAACTAGAAGAAATAAAAAATCTTTAGTTTAAGGTAAAAGATGTTATTCAATAGTTGCTTAATGTTGTATCTTTTATTATAAACACAGAACTAAATGAAGTAGTTGTTAATTCATTTCTTTCTTGGACTGAAAAGTATCAACCGACCAAGCCTCGTTTTGTTTTGGGTAATCGAGCTAAAGTTCGTGAGCTATTCGACTGGTTAAACTCATGGAAAGAACGCAACGACATCGCAGCACAAAGAACTTCAAGAAGGTAGCTTATTTACACTCAATATTCATGTGATGACCATCCTATAAGCAGGTGCATTTATACTACCATTTTATAAGTTGTTATTATACTATGATTTCCTAAGATCATCCATGGTTTTCCTAATTGTTTATTGAAAATCAACTTAAAAATAATATAAATAATATGAATTATGAGCTAATGAAAAAATTATAATATTATTACTAAGTTGTTGTTTTTTTATTGTTATTGTTATTTCACTTTTTTGAGCCCACTTGGATAAGGGGTTCACTGTAAGTAAGTAAATAATTCTTTGTGTCTTAGGTTTGTAAATTTAATGATAATCTAGTTTTTAGTTTGTAGTTAATGTTATGTGAATGACAATGACTTATTTACAAAATATATAAATTAATTTAAACAAAATTTTTTTTTATGTCAGGATGAAATGAAGTATGTGCACATATTTTTGGTTTAACTTTTTAATTTTTTCTGTTTTAACTTAATCAAGTGAAATGTAGTACTTTCAGACTAATAAATTTAAAATTTAAGTATGCTTAACAACTTTATTTTTACTTTTTTAAAAAAACTTTTTTTCTAAAAAAAAAAAACTTTTCCTAACTTTTTTCTATAACTAGAAATATATAAAGTTTCTTGTTTATTTTAAGTTACTTGTTTTAACTTGCCTTGGCCTACCAATTTGTGTTTAATTATTCAAGATGTTATGTTAACTAAATTTAGAGTTAATTTACCTTATTATGAATATTTCAATAATTTTTTTTTGCAGAAATAACAGTGAAAGTGAAAGTGACTTGAGTATATTTTCTGATGATGACGAAAATTCTTTTATCAATACACTGCTGTTGACAGGTCCTATTGGTTGTGGAACTACTGCTGCTGTTGTTGCATGTGCAAAGCAAATGCAGTTTAAAGTAAGTGATTTGTGTCAATATTTATGTCTCATTTTTTTAAAACATTTTTAGACAATTGTAAGTAAACCAGTAAGCTGATTTTTTTAAAATTTTTTGTTTCAACCTCTCATTCCTATAATTCTAAAGCCTTTGACAAAAAAGGCTTAAAAACTAATTCAGCATGGTATTACAGAGATGTGATAGGGAATAAAATCAGTACTTCTCTTAAAGCAAGTGCCTTATGTTTACACTACTAAAATTAAAGGATTTACTAAGAGTCTTTCACAAACATGCCAGCTTTATATTTCTTTAAAAGTTAAAACTTATTCAAAGTGTGCTTTATTTTATTGTTCAAATGCATGGAAAACTAAAATTTTATTTTTATATATTTTATATGATCCTTTAGAAATGTGCTAATTTCTTTTTTAAATATGACATAATGTAAGACTTATAGCAATGTTTCACAACTAGATTAACCTGTTTTGCAGGTCAAGACAGAATATCTTGATATGATACAAAGATTATTAATAGTTTACTAACTACCTCCTTCTCTAATTGCTCTGCCCATTTAAACAATTAATTTGGGGGTTTTAGATTAGAGTTTTCTTTCTAGGTAGGTTGTCTTCACCACAGTTAAGGAGTGTGTGCAATGCATATATATTTTGTTAGTACTTTTTTATTATTATTATTTTGATACTTAGATTAAATATATTTCAAATATGTTTTTTTTTTTCTGTTGTTATTTTAAATGTTACGTTTTTCTTTCTGCTGTTATTTATTAGATTTTAGAGATAAATCCATCTATTCTTCGGACCGGAAAACATGTTATGGATCGTGTCGCTGAAGCTGTTGTTTCCCATCAGATTCCAAAAAAGCATTTAGCAATATCAAAAGCATCATTTTTTAGTTGCAAATCAGATAAACAGGAACAATTGGTGGCAACAACACAAGTTGCAGCTGATGAGATATCATTAGTTTTATTTGAACATGTCAGTGTTTTTTCATTTTAATTTTAATGTTACGTTCTTTTAACAGCTTCGAGCCAATCGTTGTTTTTTTTTTCAAAACATTCATGTGGTTTGAAGTTGTTTATTAATATTTTATGTTGATTTTTAGATTTTTTCTAAATTTTTTCTGTTTTTAAGGTAGACATTGTATATGAAGACCATGATAAAGGATTTTGGCAAGGCCTAAATAGTTTATGCCGTCTTTCAAAAAGACCTATTATTCTCACTGCAAATGGTAAGTTTAAGAGTTGAAAGTATAACTAGTATAAAAAATGTAGTGTAGTTTGAAAGATTATTGAGATTAACTTAAAAATACTAAAAGCAATAAGTTTACAGTTACCATAAAAGCAATAAGTTTACAGTTACCATAAAAGCAATAAGTTTACAGTTACCATAAAAGCAATAAGTTTACAGTTACCATAAAAGCAATAAGTTTACAGTTACCATAAAAGCAATAAATTTACAGTTACCATAAATACAAGTGAGGAAGTGTTTTGAGTTGCTAACTAAAAATGATTTTGTTTTTTCATTTTAGTTACAATGATAATTAAACTGATGAGGCCTGTACAAGACTAAAGCACCAGCTTAAAAGATTGTAACACTGAATGAATTAAGTTAAAAAAAGATGAATATCAGTAGGACATCATCAATGAGCTTTTATAAACTATATTGTATTATAATATAGTTTATACAAGCTCATAAGATTATTAGAAGTTTTATACATAAAAATATATTGCAATGCATTACTTTAAAAGTAGATTTCTTGCAAATTTTTCAGAAAAACTGATAGTATGACATTTATATTGCTTCAAATAAATATTATAACTATAATAAAGGAAAAGTAAGAAATATTTGTAGACCCAAAAATATTTTAACAATATTTTAGTGCTAAAAATAATTTGTGATTATGTATTTTTTCCTTTTTTATTGCTTATTTTTTCATTTATTCTGAACATGTTTTGTTTTCTTTGTTTGCATTACCTTATTTACAAAAATATTTTAAGTTCCGGTCGGAGTGAATTGTTAGTTCAGTAGCTAGAATGTTATTAAAAAAAGACCAAGAAAATACGACCAAGTATAAATTATAAATTAAAGCTTTAAATTTTTACTTAGTAATTACAGACAAAATGTTTTGAAAGAACTTGGCATTTTTATTATCAGATCTGTGTTAACATTTTTTAAATACTTTTTTAAAGTTCATTAAACATTTTTTTTGAGACATCAAAATAATCAATAATGAACTCATTATTTTGAGACATCAGATAGCGGTTGAAAAGTTAGTACTAAACAATATAGTATTTAAGATAAAGTAATTTTTATGTATAAACCTTGTACTTATTGTACATTTAATATTTTACAACTTGGCAAGGAATTAGTTCACTTCTACCTTTTTATGGGTAAAAATTAATTATTAGGTACTGGTGTAATTTTTAATACTATTAGAAACCTAATGCACCATGCTTCCTTGGCTCCATATCCTATATTTTAGTCAGTTTACTTGATGTTTTCATTTATCAAAACATAGCTCACTCCTATCTCTATTAGCTAACTTTCCCATTTTAAAATGTGTAGGAATGATAAAAACCTCCTTTAAAAGACACTTAAGCAACTAACCTCAGTCTTCTTTACTGTGATTTTTGTGCATGAAATTTTCTACAACATACATACTTTTTAAGCAAAGTCTTTGTCTATATTGTTACAACTAGTTTACACCATTACAAAGTATATTAGTACATTTTAAGTACTTAAAAATGTTATATTAATAATAGTGAGCTGTAATTTAAGTGTTTTAGATTAAAAGTATATATGTTAACATAAGTATATATTTGTTAACGAAAATTTATTTATATAAAGGCAATTTTTTGTTTATTTGTTTAGATCCTTCAACTATTATATATGATGATAGAGGAGAGCCTGTTAGGATGGAAAGTATTAGTCTAGAACGACCCTCTACTGAACAATTATTACCCATGATGCAGATTATTTGTTTAATTGAACATGTATTTATTCCAAGTGAAATTTTATTAGAAATTATTAAGTTTTGTAATAATGACGTAAGAAAAACTTTACTTCAACTTCAGTTCTGGTTTGAACAAGGAAAAGAGCCAATGTATAAACTATGGAAGGAGAGGTGCCTGAATAAGACTGTGACAAATAACTCTCCCAGCCAATTATATTCAAATGATAAGAGTCAGACAGATAACACTCTGATCAAAGAAAGTAGCTTGGTAGAAAATTGTGAACCCTCTGATCAATCAAAGAAGAAAACTTTCAAGATAATGATTCCTCGTTTTAATTTAAAGAATTTTTGGAAAAATCCAGTTGAAGAGTTTTTTAACATTGAATCTGTAAAAAATATATATATTCTTTTTTTAATGCAAAAATAATTTTTCCTAAAATTGTGTTCAATCTATTTAAGTTTGATCTGACCTAATTTTATTAATATCAAACTGTCAAAACATGTTTTGTTAATTTTTAAAGAAAAGTATAACCTGGTTGAACTTGAAAAAATGTATTCATTAGTTGTAATATTTTTAATTACTTATTTAGATTTCATCTTTAAATCTGTGGAACAATCAATGTATTGATTCTCATCATACTTTTATAAAAAAAAAAAGCAAACATACAACAGGTTGTTCTTATTTATATTTTTATGAGAATTATTGTTAATATTGTTGTTATTATTATAATTAATATCATTACCAGGTAAAATTTACATTGTATTATTTTTACATTGTAATATTTTTACAGTGTAATATTTTTATTTTGTTATATTATCTACTTTTTAAGTAACAAGAATTAAATTATAGTTTTTTCTCTTTTTCTTTTCTTATTGCTAAACTCATCATCACAATTACCTAATCTGAGTTTTAATATAGGAGCATAGTTTGTATATCTTGCACTTCCACGCACATTGTATATAATATATGTGCGTGCACACTTGTGTGTGTGTGCAAATTTGTGTGTAGATATGAAACAAGAATGAAAGTTTGTATATCTTGCACTTTAATGCACATTGTATATAATATATGTGCGTGCACGCTTGTGTGTGTGTGCAAATTTGTGTGTATATATGAAACAAGAATGAAAGAGTGTTAAGTTTGACTATATATATATATATATATATATATATATATATATATATATATATATATATATATATATATATATATATATATATATATATATATATATATATATATATATTATATTATATTATTTATTAATCACCCGCTGTATATAATACAAGGTAAATTATTATAAAGTTACGTTTTTGACAAGAAACAAGTTTTTATCTTGGAATATTTACTTCAAGAATATTTTTGAATATTGTCCTTTGCTCCAATAAGTTCCAGAACTCAATTGCATAGCTTAACTATGGAAGATCTTTTTTAGGAATTATATTTTTTAGCGCAATAACTTTTACCTTTTTTTTTGTTTTGCATTAAGCTCTCTAGATTGAGTTCATCCCGATTGCATAAACCTATGACATCATCTAGAAAACCTATGACATCATCTAGAAAAGAGTGCTTAGCGGTTTGGTTTTTAAACCAATTTACAATACCAAATGTTGTTTTATTGCTCAATATGCAAATAAATAAGTTTAACTTGTTTTGATGTACGGTTGTTGAAACATCTTAGATCTAAAACAAAGAATAAATATAATTTTTGCTGTGTTTGGAAACATTGAAGAATGACTTGAGTGCATTCCTCCCCATTATATCAAGCTTTTACATTAGTACGACTTTATAATCACAAAGTTCAAGACTATACGTAAGTACCGGAACCGTCAATGTTTTATATAGCTGGACAATAGAGCTTAGATGAGCTAAGACTTAATAAGAGTTTGAATTATTGCCTGAATTTTTATATTCTATTATCAATATTTGAATGATTAAGTGAGGCAAAAGAAAAGCTTTTAGTATGCCATATAAATCCTAGATGATTAAGTTAATCATTTTATTTGTTGGTGGTCGATTGTTATCGTGCAGTTTGCAATTTGTTTTTTTCCAGTAAACAATAACTCGGTCTTATTAGCATTCAGCTTCATACAATTTGCGTTAGTGTATATATTACAATCTGCTATAAGCTTTTTTATTCTAGATAGGGTAAAACTAAGAAGAATGATGTCATCAGTGCATGCTACAACACCTGTGTAATTTCCATAAATTGATGTCCCTACTATACTTTTATTTTGTATGGTTTCAAGTAGGCTTTGAGTATAAATATAATACAGGTAAGGAGACAGAATTGATCCTTGTCTCAATCCCTGTGTTAGATAAAATGGATATGACTCGCATCCTAGATAAGTGACAGAATCACTGCTTTCATGGTACAATGACGATAAAGTATTAAAAATATAAAGCGGTAATTTTTATTATTGTATAGTTTCTCAAATAAAATGTCCCAGCTACAGCTGTCAAATGCTTTTTCAGTGTCTAGGGAACACAGATAGACAGGTGAGTTTTTGTTGTAATATTTTATCGTTTCACTTATAACAAATTTGGCATGTAAGGTTGAGCTGTTTTTAGTAAAACAGAATTGAAGAGGATCAGTTTCTTTTATCTCTGGACAGATTATTTAAATAAGATATTCTACTAGTTTTTAAAGATTAGTTATTTGGATCAGTTAATGGTTTTTTATAAGATTTACCAAGAGTAATATAATATAATATAATATAAGAGTATTAAGTATAATAAGTAATGTAGACATCGAATTTGGGGCCTGACCATGGTTAATAATAAAGTTAAAGAATTTCCTTAGCCACTATGTTAGGGCTTTGCAATGTGCATGTTTTAAATGTTCTGCACAGATTCCATACGCATTTTTGGTCTTGTTTAATTTTAGGTGAGAGATAGCCGTTTTAATATTTTCATCTGACATTATTCCATATCAAATTTGGTACAAGGTGGAACTTGAAAATTCAAAGCGGTATGCTTCATTGCTTTGGTATTTAAACGTTTTTCGAAACTATCAGCAAATTCTTTAGTGATTAATTCCTTGTCCTTTTTATTATTAATAGTAAATAGTTTTGAGTTTGTATCAGACTTTATGTATCTAATGTTATTCCAGAAGTTTCTTGGGTTGGTATTTTTTAGCTTCTCAATTTGTGTGTATTGCTTAAAAAGGTAACAAAGCTTTTTGAGCATTTTTACCTTTTTTTCTTAAAAAGGTAAAAAAGCTCAAAAGGTAATTTTGAGCTTTTTTGACAGCATTGCAGAAATTTTTAAGTGCCATTTGATATCAATTAAAAGTAAGCGAGCTGAAATCTTTTTCGAAATCCATCTCATGTCATTTCTTAAAATAAAATGTAAGAACTTTTTTGATCCTACTTAACTGGAGTCCACCAAGATTTTAAATATAAAGATTGTTTTTTCAAGAATAAGTGTTTTTGTAAGCACTTTAATAAGCACTTTTTGTAATAAAAGAATAGATTTCAATAAGTTCTTTGTCATAATTATTATTCGTAAAGTTAAAACTTTTAAAGTTTTTATTCAAACACTCATTATATAATTGTATAAAACTTTTATTATTCCAGGCATAATTAGGAATGCTATTGTCTATAATTTTGTTAACTTTTCCACGGAGAGATTGGCCTCTGAGTCCAATTACAGTTGATATTGGCAAATGATCACTCATATATTTTGAGATGAAAAAAGCGCTACAATACAATTCTTATACTGAAGAGAAGTATTACTTGAGAGAGCTATGTGATTAATGTAAGATGCCTTTGGTAGTGTATAATGTTGATACTTTATTTTCAAGCCAGAACCTTTAATTACATCTACTAGTTCAAAATCGTTTGTTTTTATAAATTTTGATAAAGCCATGGAGTAATTATTTTTTGTGAAGTTCGATCTTTCTAATAAATCTTATATTCTGTCATTAAACAATTGAAAATCACCAAGTACAATTACTTCGCCAATACTTTCATAATTATTAATAAGGCCTTTAATTATGTCTAACTGATTCTCGTATTTATCCAAAGATGTTTGATTATTTCGCGATGAAGAGAAATAAATACCAATAATGATAATGTTAGTAATCTTCGTAGAGAATAATGACATTTTGAAACAAATTTTTCTGAACCAGAAACGCATTTGCACCAAATGGTCAATCATGCTTGTGTTTATTTGCATGGTGGAAGTATGAGGTGTGAGTGTTTTTACAAATATTTTTGATAATGGGATATTCTAGTTTTGATAACCAATGTTCACATATAAAAGTTATATCATGAGTATCATGAGAAGTTATCAACGATTCAGTGTATTCAATGTTTGACTTTAGTCCACGGCAGTTAAAAGTACATAATTTAAATGTGATCGGAAGTATGTCTTCCTTTAATGGGCTGTCTGAATCCATTTTTATTGATAAAAAGCCTGGTTTCCATTGGTTTCCAGATTTTAGACAATGTTTGAATATAAGCGCTTTTTTTGAAATGCCTTAACTATTTTATTGTTTCCTATAGAACAGGGTTAAATATTTTGTTTTTGTCAGAGCTGTTTATTGAAACTTTGTAAGATCTGTTGTACTGATTTTCTTTGTTTAAATTAACTGATATGGCTGTGACTCCTATTTCCGTTTTTATATAGAGTTTTAAATCCTCCTCATTTATTTGATTGCTAATGACTCCAACAAAAAGTTCAAATTGACAAATTTGAACTTTTTTATTTCTATCTACTAAGATAAAATTATTTAGATCATCGACATTGTTTATTGTGCTTTTGGAATTTTTGAAATTATTTATATCAGAAGTACATGATGTTGATTGGTTTTGAGGCGAGGCATTTGCATAGGTTTTTTGAAATAAAGGTTGTATTTTTGTTTCAACGTTTGAAAATGATTTACCGCAAGATTTAATGACATTTTTTGTAGCTTCTGCATATGAGATTTTATTTTCACTTTGTTTACGATAATTGAAATTTATATTTGAAACTTGATTATTTGTTTCAACGTTTGAGCATGGTTTACCACAAGATTGTTCAATGACGTGTTTTGTAAGTTCAGCCTCTGAAAAATTCTTTTCACTTGGTGCATGATAATCGAAATTTATATTTGGAGTTTGATTCGATAGGAATATACTCTGATTTAATTCCAGTGTTTTGTTTTTTATTTTAAGGTCTTCAATAAGATTAATTTGAAGAAGCATTTTCTCTCTCAAAAAACCGAGTTCCTCTTTTATTTCTTTGTTTTCCATTTGAATTGCTTTCAAAACAATTACTAATTTTTTTAATGCAGAAACAAGAAATTTATTACTAGGCAAAGTTTCATCGTTTTTTGTTGACATAATTGCTTTCCCTATTTCTTTGTGTAATTTTTTTTCGCATAATGATATGGAGAACAAATAGATATCTTCTAAACATAATGCTATTTTGTATCTTTTACGGTGATTTTTATCAACAGGATTTTCATAGTCTAAAGTTATTTTCATTTCATCAAATTTCTCGGTTTCAAATATGTCAAGAACTTCAGCAAATAGACGTTCACGAAGATTTCGAATTAAGTTTTCCAGAACTAAGATCATATTTTGAGCTATTAAATCTTTTGGGTGACAACAAGTTTCTTTAATGTTTTTCAGATAATTATCTTCAAATGCATTAATGTCAGATTTTAAATACAAGAATATCTCACTGAGTGATCTTGGCGCCATATTTTTAATGTAAATGAAATCTTTTTTTCAATCACTTTATTGATAAAAAAACATATTTTAAATATTATTATTATATATATATTTTTTCTCTTTCTTAAAAACAACACGTCTTGCTTGTAGCTCATATTGTGTATTAATATGTGATCTATTTTTTTTTTTTTTAATATTAAACCAAAAATATCTTAATTAAGCCATAAATATTTTTTTTTTGTCCTTTATTGTATTTATATGTATTTCTTTATTGTATTTATAATCATTTACTCCTGATGAGGTCTCTCTCTTTCTCTCTCTCTCTCTCTCTCTCTCTCTCTCTCTCTCTCTCTATATATATATATATATATATATATATATATATATATATATATATATATATATATATATATATATATATATATATATATATATATATACATACATGTATCGTTGGATGTAGTATTGTATTAAAATAAAAAACTCATTTTCGTTGAAAAGTGAAAAGTTTAAAAGTCAATATTTTGATTATATATAAATTTCAAAACAAAGCGGTTTATAATTAAAAACAAAAAAAAACTTTTATTATGGAACTTTAAGTTTCATGCCTAATGGCAATCATCAGCCTTATATTACGAAATTAAAAATTAAACGTTATTAAAATTACTGGAAACAAAGTTTTACGGAAATTAAAAGAAAAAAACTTTACACCTTTTGTCAGATGGAAGGTTGTTAAACAAAGCAAACCATACAACCCAGCATCAAGAGTTTGTAACCTCTGTGAAATAAACCAGAAGTTTCAAATTTTTTTGTATAAAAGAGAAAACCTAGTTAACACAAGAAGTGAAATAATTTTGAAGTGTAGACACAAAAATAAATTCCTTATTTCCTCATTTGACACCGCAGATTGATCCTGGTTGGTTTACGTCATGTTTATGCCACGTTATACTTTTAAAACTTTTCAAAATTTTGTCAATGGAATCATTAGAACTCACACCACTAATTTTATTGTAATTTTAACATTTAGTTTTTAATTTTGTATTATATGGCTGATGATTGCCGTTAGGCATAAAACCTTCATAATTAAAGTTTTTTCATTTTTATTTTTAACTATATGTGTGTGTGTGGTGTGTGTGTGTGTGTGTGTGTGTGTGTGTGTGTGTGTGTGTGTGTGTGTGTGTGTGTGTGTGTAATATTTTATTATAATGTATAATTAATATTTATTTATTTTAAATGCCATGAATGTAGAATAGACAAAATGAAATGGATTTTAAAAAACAATAAAAATGTTGAAATGTACTCAAATAAAGTTGTTTTAAATTGGTTTGTTTGATCCTTTTAGACAATTTTATCACATTGATTACAGAGTGTTTTTATGGTCAATATTGCTCTTCTACTTTGCGTCTTAACAAGTGTTGCATCTTTTTACTTTTGGTGTAAATGTGGATTTAACATAAAATTCACTTTTTTTTTCTTTACAAAATTAGTATAATAGTTTTGCTTCTTAAATCATTCCTTTTTCATAGATTTAATTCAACATGTTTTTGGGTCACTTATGTGGAATCCTTTGCATTGTTTGCTTAAACACTGTTACATAAACTAATAGCTTGGTTTTTGTTTCTATGGAGTAAACAAAAATTTGAAGCTTTTTTTTTTTTTAAATACCAAGTTTTTTTTACTAATTTTAAAGTCCAGTACACTCTCATAAGTTTGCTAATCTTTTTTTATTGATATTTTTAAAAATAATTACAGTATAATTAAAAATATTATTTCAAACTAATATTTATTATAACATTGTAAGATATAAGTTGTGTTTTTTTTTTTTTTTTTAAATATTACATGACGTTCTTTCAAAAACAAAATCAATCAAGACATAAACTTGAACAAACTGTGCCGATTCCAAGTTATTCTGACATAAAGTCATAAATTCCTAGTTACTTTTTGATACAAAGTTTATTAAAACTTAATTTCAAATTGTTGACTTTTTTAGGCTTTGTAATAAGTCTGGTTGCTAAGTAGCTATTATTCAAGTATACCATCTTTTTTAATTACTGATTATGCTCCTAGTTACATGGATTATCATTTCTAGATTTTTCCGGAAATCCAGATATTTTTTTCAATTTTAAGTTTTTCCTGATATCCTAAACATTTTTAATACATGCAAGTTAAGGTTTATATTTTTGTAATTTATTTGTATTTTAAGCTTTTTCACTCATCATTTATAGAAAAATTATGAAAAGTTTGAGAAAAAATTAAAAATAACTCCTTAAAGTAAGAGAAAACATATTCCAGATTTTTTCCCGATATTTTATCCAAACAATTTTCTGGATTTTTAAAATATAACTTGGATGATCTATGTAGTTAGGATTATAAACTTAGGGTTTGATACATTATACAAAGTTACAGGTTTTGTAAAAAGATTTAAGTTTCTCTGAACACAATTTTTATATAAAATATTTTTGATGTTTTAAAAAATAAGTAAAATAAGTAAAAAATAAGAGCAAGATTTTGAAAAAAAAAATTTTCGTTAAATTAAAATTTTTATTACATATACAAAAATTTCATAAAGGCTTCTGTTCAAAGAAGAAACATTGTTCTCTTTTTATTGGGTATCTATAGTATATATACAAATTGTAATTATAAAAGTTGTTGCTCGTGCTCTCCTTTTTACATTTTTAAATGTGTAAAAAATGTTAGAAATTATTTTTCCAAACCCATTCTAATACTTTGCCAACTTTAACAATAAAGCAAACTATTTCTGCTGTTTCCTCGGAAGTATTATATGATTACATATATTCAAACTTGAGGCTCTTTTGTTCTCCCTTTTTAATATATACATACATGTACATATATTTATTTTTTTTGTTAATTTTCTGTTTTGATATTAAGTATAACAACTTTTAATTGTAATGTTATACTGACAGCTTCTTCTGTAAATAATATTTTGTATCTAAATTTCAGGTGATCATTTTCTTCATAATCTGGGTAACATAGTTGACTGTGTTTCTGATATGGACTGCTATCTTCGCCCTAGATATGATTGCAAAGAAAAAGATGTTTATCAATGGTCTGCCTTTTTAAAGGACAGTTTAGTAGATTCTTTAACATCTGAAAGTGGTGTCCCAAACCCTTATCCTATAAGTGAAATGTTAGAAAGTGCTAAGTTTGTAGTAGAAAATTGCTACGAACAATGTTATGAAAAAAAAGAAAAGCTAGAATTCATTCAACATCGGTATGTTTTTATTTGTTTATATTATTAAGACAAAGAAACTTGATAAATGATAAAATAAATAAAGAATAAACCAGAGAAAATAAAAGCTTAAAAATAATATATTTTTTGATCTAGAGGTGTCTCCATTAATAGTTCATTAATAATAATTTGTCCTATATTACTATGATATATGATAGTGTAGTGCTTTGTAAATTTGATATATATGATATATGATAGTGTAGTGCTTTGTAAATTTTTTTTAGTTTTTATTTCTTATTTCAGTTTATTCTAAATTTAATTAACATAACTTCATCCGTCTTTATTTAAGTGACAGTATTACTCTTCATCCATCTTTATTTAAGTGACAGTATTATTCTCCATCCATCTTTATTGCACTATCAATTGCAATAAAGATATCAAGCTATAAAAAATTATCTCAGTGATATGGTTGAAGAAAAATAAACAATGCTTATGTTTTATTTTTTACAAATGTTTGCAAGTTAATTAAACTTTTATAATATAAATTTTTTCCTGATTGACAGGAGGTTTTGCAAATTATGTAACCTTTTACAATAGAAACTTCTTGAATTGATAGGAGGTAAGGTTCATCTAATTTCTATTTATACCTTTGTAGTTTTATTTCCAGAACTTTTTAATTTGATTAGCACACTTAAATAACAAGTTAAAGTTTTGTTTGGTCTGTCTTTTTCTCATTATATTTGTCATCGTATTTTTCTTCTATTAATCTTCTTTTAAAGTCATTAAGAGGAATGCAGCATTTATTAAATGTATAGATTTCCTTAAACGCTGTCAGAAAATAAGTACCTTAGTTTTTATTTCTTTGGAGTGCATAAAAATTGTAGCATATTTATAAATACAAAGTTTTATTTTTGATCTAATTTTGAACTAATATTATTAATAACATTTTAAAATATAAGTGGTGCTTATTTCTTTTCATGTAACATTTTGGATTTAGGCTGGCATGAAATCTTTTATTCCTTTTTGATAATTTTAAGTCAAGCTTCACTCTTCTCCATGGTTTTTCTCTCATTGTGCTGCTGTAATTTCCAATCATAACTATGCAATATATTATAATAATATTAATAGCTTTTTAAAAGTATGTTTGAAGCTTTTCAAAGATAAATAACAAATCTAAGTTATTCTTTATAATGGTTTCTGATACTGATAATCCAATTCCAATAATATTGGTATTGGATTATCAGTCTTAAAATTTTTAATTTCTTCATGATAGCATTTGACCGCATGTTCCCGACGGGCATTTGTTTTTAAAAGTTACGTTCTAAATGTGTTTTAAACGTCTTTTAAACGTCTTTTAATCATTAATGTTTAAAAGACGTTTAAAAGACATTTAAAATACATTTAGATCGTAACTTTTAAAAACAAATGCACGTCGAGTTACTTAAACCATAACCAATTATCTTAACCATGCCAAAAATCACAATAATTCACCACCTTCTGTACTTGCCAAACTTAGCTCCATTCAATTGCAAAGTGTTTTCGTTTAGCACCGCTTCACTATCATCTTTCTCTTTGTTCTATATTAGTCTTCTTCATCTCAAGACTGCACATTATTTGATGTTATTTTTGATCAAATTGACCAAACCCTTACTCTTTATTTTTCAGCCAATATTGTTGCTGTTGGTAACTTCAATGCTCATCACTCTGAATAGCTTAGTTCCAGTGTCAGTGACTCTGCAGGTGTTTCTCAATCCCTAATAAAATTAGTCAACTTTTCGACTCGCTTTTCAGACAATCCGAATCATTTACCTTCTCTATTTGACTTATGTTTTATGGAATTTTTAGAAATCTTTTGTCTTCTTGCTGATAAATGTTCTTCTTATGTAGCATTTTGGATTTAGGCTGGCATGGAATCTTTTATTCCTTCTTGATAATTTCAAGTCAAGCTTCACTCATCTCCATGGTTTTCCTCTCATTGTGCTGCTGTAATTTCATAACCATTACTTTAATATCTATCACTATAGCAATTCTCCAGAAAACAAATGTTTGTTTACTAATGCTAGAAATTGTAAAAAGGTTTTGTCTAACACCAAAGTACATTATTTTCAGGTCACAAAATCTTGTATTTCATCTCAAAAAGTCTCTCGAGACTTCTGGAGAGTTTTTAACAGTGTCTATATTAAGGGCAATCTGTTATTCCACCTCTGGATGGTTCAGATTTTTTTATCTGAATTATTTGCTAAGAACTTTTTATCAATCTCATCTGTTGATTCCACTAATCACACCCTACCTGATATAGTCAACAAACAGGTTGATCAATTGCTTGACTTTTTTATCACTCCAGCTTCTGTATCTAAAAGGGTTTCTCAAGGTACTTTTCTTGGTCCTATACTTTTTTTAATTTTCATTAACGATCTCCTAGAAGTTCTCACATTTAAGGTTGGAAGTTCCTGGAAGAGAAATGATTAAGTTTATAAAACAAGATAACAATTAACAGACAACTTAAAAGATTTCAAATTATATAAATCAGGAAAACAAGATAAAGGCAGTGAATTCCAAAGAAATTTTGTTTGAGGAAAAAAAAACTAGGCCAAAAGAATTTTTGGAGCAATTAGGATTTTAGGAGTACTTAGGCACTCAGCTAATTTTAATGCAATAATGTAGATCTTCCCATATTTATAAGAGGTAATCAAGTCAACTCAAGTCATCTGCTTTTCATTTCTTTTCATTTCATTCTAGGATTAACTCTTACTTCCGATCTTTCTTGTAAAACATATTTGATATATGTTTTACAAGAAATCCATTGCAAAATTAGCATCTGCTAAGTTTGTATCTTTTTATCATGCCTCTCTTTTACTCCAGATTATATTCTTTATTTCTAATAATCTCTAACCTGTTCTTGTATGGATTACTGTTGCCATATCTTGAGCGGATTTTCAAAAGATGCCCACAAGGTGCAAAATGTGTTACTCATCATTCAATTAAGTCTCATCCTTTTACTTTGACTGTTCTTAAGTGCTCTAAAAATTCTTTTTTCCATCTACTTTTTTCCCTCAAGTATCAGAATTCACTGCCTTCATCTTATTTTCCTGGTTCATATAATTTGAAATCATTTAAGTCATCTGTTAATTGTTATCTTATTTTATAAATTTGATCATTTCTCTTCCAGTAACTTCCAACTCTAATAGTGTTACAGCCTTGATGGAAGTGAAGATGTTTTTAAAAAAAAGACAACCTAAAAGTGTACCCAAAGAAGAGTAAAAAATATGTTTGACAAATAGCTTGAATAGATGCAACTTTGTGTAGTTAATGATAGATATGATTTAAACATTTGTAAAAAATGAATTTTAAAAAAATGTTATTTTTAAAGTAGTTACCGAACTTTTCTAACGTTATTTATTTTTATGTTTTTTAATGCAGCCTTTTTAAAATTTAGAACTAATCACGAAGATTTAGTTTTTCAAAGGCTTATAGAATCCAAGATGCCAACTTTATCAAGATTAGATCGTCAAAATTTTTATCAAGATGTCTTGCCATGTTTACGGAGTATTAGTTCTTCAGAAGAGCAAAAGCGTATTTTACAAGATAAAAGAAGAAGTCGACGGTAAGCTTGCTTAATGTTGTTATTTAATAACTGTAATGTATATGCAACTGCAAAAAAAAAACATCCAAAAATATTCCATCTAAGTATACTCATATCTTTGCTTTTGATTATTTTTTTTTTTATATTAGTTTTATTTATTTTATAGTTATATTTATCTTAACTCTTCTTTCCTTAGCAAATTTTTATTTAGACTTTTGTCATAATTATGGTTCAATAACTTTAAAAGTATTTTATGGTTATTTATAAAATAGAAATTATAAACTGTATATAGACAGGATTACCTATTTACAGTTTATAATTTTTATTGATTGGATTATTATGTTTTCAGGGCGGCCTGCAACCTGGAAAAGTCAGTATAAAATGTCAAATGTCAGAAAATATAATTTTTATTAAAAGTTAAAAAATAAGTTTTTGTAAGTCATGGAAAAGTCAGGGAATTTTTATGAATTCCCTGACATTTATAATAACAAATTTTTTTATAATTAAATACTTTTAGTTGCCTTTTTACTGTTATATTTGTTCAACTTAAATTAAAGATAAATTTACACCGAAAAAACAGGAAAAAGTCGGGGAAAATAAAATCAAAATTTGTCTGGCTGCCCTGATTATTTTTAATATTATTTATTTAAAAACTAGTAATTGGATTGATACCTTATTGATATCAATAAGGTATCAATCCAATTGATATTGATATCAATCCAATTACTAGTTTTTATTTATAATTTGGTAAAAAGAAAGAAGATCTCGAAGATTTTAGTGTTGAAAATTTTAATAACTATGATTTCTTTATCACCATTCATTATAACACTCAATGTAATGTTTGGAAAGTTTCAGTAAGCTACATATTATTACTTAATGGTTTTATTATCACTTCTGTGTACAAAGTTCACGTAAAACAGAAGTTTATCCAACTTGTTTGTTAATTTGTCTCTCGTACAAAAATCTTTCAGAACATGTCCAGCCGGCGCAACTCAGAAAATAGTTATGCTTGGTTTCTGTTGCATTTTTAAAACCTTCTAAAACAAAAAGAATAACACTTGTGTCAAAAATGGTTTTTATTCCGTGAAATTAACTACGTAAATATTAATTACGTAGTTAATTTCACGATTATTATAATATAATACTACGTATTTAATTTTTTACGTAAATTAAATACGTAGTATTATATTATAATAACTTTCCGTAACGAATGTGAAACCACTGATAAAAACATGCGACATTTAAATTTGACTTGAAAACCTCAAAAAACACGTGTTAAACTCGAGTAAAACTGCCCGTAATATACACGTGTTTTTGATTTACGCCTGGGTTGTGACAAACACGTGTCTACAGGTTTTAATTCTGAAAAAGAAACTAGATGTGCCGGTAGGCTGAAAGATGGAAGACATGATGCTATTTTAGCACATAACATGTGCATACATGCGACTTTCTCAACTGGTGGCATGTGGTGATTGATAGCATGCATATTTGGCACCCCAAACAGTGGAGATGCTAGTGTTTCTAAACCGTAATTGTGACTTGTGTAACATACATACATGCATACATACATTTATACATACATACGTACATACATACATACATACATACATACATACATACATACATACATACATACATACATACATACATACATACATACATATCAATTAGATAAAAAATTTTAAATGACATCAATTAAGGAAAAGCTAATACATTGCTTATTTTACGGTGTCTATTTTTCTATTTTCACGTTTTTTACACGCAAATAGGCTATATTTAATTATATTAATTATTATATTTGCTCGTTTTTAATTTTATAATAAAACACTACCCGCACGTGTTGTTCAGATGATTGACTAGGCCATCAGTCAACACATGATACATTTTTCGGTGTGTTAGGTCATCTTGCACAAATTTCACACATTTGGCATAGGCATACTTAAGTTTAGAGCTTGCACAAGCTCTAAACATAAGTATGCCTATGCCAAATTTTTTTATTTTTTTATTTATTTTAATTCACCTCCTCAAAGCCGAGAAGGCCACTACAGACGAGGAGGCTACTTATTTGTGGCTATAACCCTCTCTCAACTCTATAACTCCGAAACACGAACCTTGATGAACAAGGCCGCTGCGCGGAGAAACGAGTTGAGCGCGGTACTACCAGGGACGTGGTGAGGATCGAACTCCGAACCACTCGTTTATGAAGCGAGCGCTCTACCACTACACCACTACCGCATATGTGTGAAATTTGTGCAAGCTCTAAAACTTAAGTATAACTATGCCAAATAAGGAGGCCTTGCAAAAAATTGGGATGGCGGAGGCCTATGAACAAAAAGCTCTAAAACTTGCCCCCCCCCCCTCCTGCCAAAGCGTGAGGGTACTAATGTAGTAGAATTTCAACTTTACTATCTAAAACTAAATTTAAATTTATTGACAGATTTTTAATTTCGTGGAAAAATATTGTAAATTACAATATTTTTCTACGATATATTACTACAACATCAAAAAATCCTGCGGCTGTCATGCATACATGCCACCCCTTATACTGGCCCTGAGTAAAGCGTATTTCAGGCAACCTATTTTTTGAGCAAAATAACAAATAAAAATAAACAGTTGTTTTTTTATTTGTTATTTTAGGTGCCCCAAGAAGTCCTAACGGTCTTGTCACAGCACCACGGAAGTGCATTTAACCAGGAAGTTCACGCCTCCTTCCTTACCGTGACGCAAAATATGTCTAAAGCTCGCTTCATTCCTGGATTTCCTGCTTATTAAGCAAGCACTAAATCACTGCGCCACATCCACACGGTTTTAGCAGTGCCGTGGCTTTTAAAATTTGGGTCCCAAATTTTGTTGCTAGTTTTTGCTAAAATAAAAAGCTCCCTAAATTAGCAAAAGGGCACAAAATTTTCTGACCTACTGCCCCCCCCCCCTCCTCCATCCATCCTTCAGAAAAAAAATTAAAGGGTACTGGTAGCCTATCTTCGGCACTGGGTTTTAGGCTTTGTTTTCAATATAACTGATCTCGCGTAGGGCTCGAACTTACTAAAAAGGTGTGCCTTAAAAAAACGTCCACCTTAAGTATAGTTTATTTTTATTTGATTCGTCATTAAAGCAAAAATAAGTACAGTATGCCTCGGCTGGGGATCGAACACCGGACGCTGTCACCACAGCCCACAGCATCAACCGCTTGACCAAGCAAACGCACAATGTGCAATTTAATTTTATTAAAATTAATATTTGCATATAATTTAAAGACGTTTTTCAAATTGGGATCCTGTGCCGCAAACAAAGTATTTTTGGGTCGTATAAAGTATTTAAGGTACCTCCTCCACCTTTTTTTTTCCATAAACTTTTCATTGAAAAAAAGTTGGGGGGATTATTTCAAAAACGTACGTACGTTTTTAGGGGGGAGAAGGAAGGACTTAGAAGTACTTATGGCAACAGGAGGGAGGGAGGGGGTCAAATTTCAAAATTTTTGGCGTACGTACTTTATGGATGACCCCTAATCTCCGAAAATACATATTTCATTTTTGAAATTTAAATAACTTTATTAGCAATAAATTAGTGTCGCGGTGCAAGTGATATTAACATTATAATTTTTTATTTTTTCATCGATATATCATTGACTCTTAAAGCCGTAGACGTATACATTTAGGTGGTACATCTATAAAAAAATAAATTTCAATAACCTGATTTAAAATTTTATTTTTCTGGTGTAGTACTCAAAAAGAAAAACTAAAAAAATATATATATTTTTTTTTATATTGAAAAAAAAAATTATTCGCATAATTAGCCCTTTTTGGGCAAAAAAGGGGGTAATTTTCTGTCAAGAATAACTTTTGAACAAAAAATATCTAAAAGCTCAAAATTGTTACCCGAAATGTTGTAAATGAGTAGCACGTTCTGATATTTAAAAAAATATCATTTCATAAATATTTTACCCATAATAGCTAAAGACATTTTTTATTTTTAATTAATTGTAAATAAGGGGCAAGTTTCTAAAAATAACTCTTATAATAATTAAATTAAAAATATTTTTTTAATGTCAGAACGTAAACAATAATCTAAAGAGCATTTGCGCAAAATTTTTAAAACAATTAATTGAGTACATAATTCATAATCTTCGACAGAAAATTAAAAAAGACAATTTGTAAAAACAGTAAATAAAGAAAAATGTAATATAAAAAGTATATAAAAATGATTCAAAACTCTCCTTTTCCATAAATGTCACTCTCTTTATTATTCTTATCATCAAAACCTTTTCTGTTATTTTGTGTATCTTAACCTGTTTTTATTGACAGAACGTTTAAACATTGTAAGCGCATCAGCTGACTCCATTGTTCCAGCACTTCCTTTATCGTTAATGTTACAGTTATGTGAAGCATACCAAACATTATAGGCTGGAGATTCTTTTTTTGACTCCCAGAATTTATATCCTTTACATTTTTTGGGTAATGTTTGGGTATCGATACATTTACCATTAGAAATAACAGTCACCACACCATCTATATATCCGCATTTCTGCCATGTACTATCTACACTAACAGTTACATTCCTAATTGTATCATCTTTCACGAACATGGGCGAATCAATTTGAATATTGTTTTTTATGCATTCTTCTGATGCTACTAACATTAAACTCTGGGCAGCTTTTACATAAGCCACTTGCAAATGAGCTGTAATATTATTGTACGAACTTAAATTCATAGGTGGTGGCATGTTTATAACGCTAAAAAACGTTTTCATACTGGTAAGACCTTTGCTAGTTTCTTGAAATGCAACTGTTGCTCTAATTTTATCATTAAAGTTGTTTCTCCTCTGTTTATACATAATATCATCCTCATTTCGATCTTTTATGTTTTTGGAGATAAAACATTCTTTTGTCCATTCACATCTAGAGCAACGAATAAAAATCATATGAGCAAAACCTTTCTTTGTAGAAATGTCATGCTTAGCTTGTAGTTTTTTGCATAGACAACATGGTCAAGTCCGAATAAAATGGATAATTTCTTTTAGTATAACAGTATTCATAAAAATATAGCATTCAGAGTCATTTGTAATTGTACCATGCTTGTTGTAGTGTCCATTTTTTTTTCTTTTTTTTCTTTTTTTTTTTTTTTCTTTTTTTTTTTTTTTGCAGAAGCTGATTTGTTTTGAGAAGTGAACGTTGTTGCTTCATCTTTACCTATCTTGGCTTTTATTAAGAGTTTATACTGCTTTTATGTTAAACCTGCGTTTTTTGCTCTAGACTTCTTTCTTCTATCAGATTATCCAATATTAAAGTTGTAATATAAATACAGTGCTTAGAAAAATCCACATAAAAAATCACTAATCATTAATATGCCTCAATAACATGCCGTTCAATTTGAGGTTTGAAGTTGTGGATTTTAACTAAAAACTAAGGATAAGAGTATACATAAACATCCACTGTGTTATTGCCAAGAAAATGTCTAGCCTCTGGATTTTCTAAGAGACTTACTTTAAAATAAAGTGTTTTTTTAGGCATTTTTTTTTTTTTTTTTTTTTTTTTTTCTTTTAAACAAATGTCTTTTTTGAATTCTTTGGTGCTTAAAATATCTAAAAAGTATGTTTGTAAAAAATCGAAAAAATAAAGATTCTTTATAGATGTACCACCTTAATCGACTAAAATTTAAGTAAATTTATAAAATGTCAATTCCAATAAAAATTTAACAAGCCAATTCTAAATTATTTTAAATTTGAAGCTGCAGTCGAATATTTAAAAATGCATACTTTTAATTAATATAAAAGATTTTCTAGATTTGAAATTGAAAAAAAAAAATTTATCACAAAACTGGATATCCCCTCTCTCTTCTGTAACATGAATATCCCCTCCTGTAACAAATCGTCACAAAATCGCTAACCGCCCCACTCCCCTCCTGATCCTGTAACGTAATTGTGGACGACCCCTATGATACAGTATGCGGAAAAGTGTTAATTTTTAAATTGAAAATTTTTTGTATATCTATTAAACTATTATTTTTATTTGTTTACGTAAATGTATGAATACATTTCTGCGCAAATTTTCTTTGTTTTTCCTTTTTTTGGACGTAATTGAATTTTACGTCGTTTGACAAAAAAAACTAACTGTAATTGCCTGCTATTTTTAGAATGGACTTATTGCTTTTTCGTTTGTAAAACTCGTTATCATTAAATTGACCCTATTTATTCAAAGAGAATTTTTTTTTTTGTTCAAATAACTAATACATATGAAGTCCATTGTAGAAATAATATAGTCATCTCATTTTTCCAAAAATGAATTTATGATGTTTTTGCAGGCAGCGCTTCAATTATAGAAATTATAGAAAAGAACGATTTACAGTATATTTTATTTGTTTGTTAATAATTTTTATTTTATTTAGATTTTTGCATTACCTGGATTCCGTTAGTTTAGGCTTGGATGAAAATGTTCTAAAGAAACTTTCCGCGTCTCCCTTTTCGATTTTCTAGAAAATTCGTATTATTCTAGAACGTTTTCCATTAAAAAGCAAAAGCATAGAGAGGTTGAAAAAAAAAGATTAAAGCAAGAGGAAGAAACGAATTTACTGCGTATGACTAGAATAACTTTTGAGAAACGCATTTAAACGTCGAAACTTTTATCCAAGCGCTAAATTACGCAATATTTTATTGAAATGGTGAAATAATCTTTCTAAATACATCCAGTGGAACTTGAACACAGTTGAGTGAACAACAATTTAATTTTATTTGCATCAATAAATTGTACATTAACTATGTAATTGTATTCATTTATGATTTTTTATGTAAAGAAGCAAAAAAAACATAAACAAAGCGCTACTGCTATGTTTAAAGATGTTTTCTAAATTTATTTAACAAATGCTTCCTATATCTTTATGCCTTGTATTTGGTGCTATTTGAACTTTTTATTTAATGTCAAACAATTGTGGATTCTAGAAAATTAAAAATATTTTTTAATATATATTTTCAAAATACCTAATTTTTTAAAAGTAGTTTTGAATATAATTTTTGTTACCGTAAAATGACCAGTCTGTATTAAGTGCTTCACGCAAATCAGAGAGAACTTCCAGCTGTTCAGTTTCCCACAACTTTTCCATTTTTATTACCTGTTAAAATGAGAGGTTATTTTATATAAAATGATATATTTTCGTTTAATAAAAATATTAACAGAAATATAATATTACAGTTAATTCTTAATAAATAGTTTGATAAATAGCGTTGTTAGTGCCACAACCGGAGTAACATTAAATTTTATACTTTTGAAATCGAAAATGCAGCTAAAAATAATAGCATTTTTTATAATCAAGTAACATTTTCGATTATAGAGATAATAAGTGCACAGGTTAGTACATGACTGACATGTAGGGGTTAGGGCAATAAAGTGTTTCGGTGTGGCAGGTTTGGTGCGTCGTGTTTCTATATTTAATGAGTTTTCAATGATTTTTGTTGATCTTTTCGATATTATTTAAAACTGACTTGGCTGATGTTATTCCAATCAGTATTGAAATAACTAATTTTTAAAGATATCCCAGTACTGGTGTTTTTAAGTTTCATGGAAGCCTAGATTTTATTATTGTTGATAAAGTTTGTAATGTGTTCTTAGTACATTTGTTTACGAGTCAAATAACGTACTGTTAATTTGCTTTCCATAAGTTTTTCTTTTTTTGTCTTTAACTTTAGTGAAAGCTGATTTATCAACTCTCTGTAGGTGTTCATCTCTTGATCTTTAAAAGAATCTTTTTCGATGTCATCTAATAAAAAAAAAGTTATATCAACATGTTGGTAATTTCGATAACTGTCATGCGTCAAAAATTATCTTCTACAAATGAAACAAAAAAGTTTGATATTTTTAAAGCAACTAGTTAGATAATAATGATGAATGAATAATGCCAACCAAGTTTATATTATTCTAACCTAAAAAAATCCTCATTAATCCTACTTAAATTAATTCCGGCTGTGTAAACTTTGTTTACGCTGACTGGTAAAACCAAAGATGATAAATGTTAGCTTTAAAACAGGGAGCAGGTTGGTAAAAAAAGTAATCAGCGTTTTTTCAAAAACTTCTTATCAAAACCTTAATTGTGAAAACTATTGCTTTTTAATTGAAACAAAAAGCTATCTGTTAAAGTTACGTCGGGCAAGTATAGAAAGGAAATAATACTTTTAAATTACTTTTGTTGCATCGATTTTGGAATGTAAGGGCATGCGTTGTTATTTCAATTAAATCGGTGAATGTTTACAGGGTGGAAGTCCAATGTAAACTTTCAGGAAACTAAAAAAAAAATATTTTCCCGTAGTAAATTTTGCTAATAGTTCAATAATTTTTTTTTAAGGTAAAAAACATTATCCTCTTCAAAAAGAAGGTAAAAAACATTATTCTCCTCTTTAAAAAAAAGAATTATTAAACCATTAACAAAAATTTACTACGGGGGAAAATGCTTTTTTTTTTTTAGTTTCCCGAACGTTTTCATAGTTGGATTTCCGCCCTTTTAACATTCAGCGATTCAAATGTGGTGTTCAACCCTATTAAAACTCATAAAACAGTTTGTTATATGATCATGATCTTCCATTTCTTCTTGATCTTTCATTTCTTCTTCCATTTTTCGCAATATGCAGAAGTTGCAATCTAAACATTAACTGACTATTAGGGTACAGCGACATTTTTTTTTCTTTTTCTAAACGCTTAGGAAAAGGTCTATTCTTATGTACAATCAAATTTTAAAGAGGGTTTCCTAAAAAAAATGTTGATCGGAAAAAGTTTTGATTTTTAGAAATTGCAAAAACTAGTAAAATCTCATTTGTCAATTTGTCCTTCATTGTATTTTAAATTTTTTTTTTATTGCGAAAAAATATTAAATGCAAATAATATTTTTAGATAGTTAAAAGTTTTTTTGATACTTTTCTCTTCTCGATGAGCTCTAGCTCTAATACCCATCTCTTGCATCTGATCCAACTACTGACATGGATGCTACTGTCACTTGTTTTACAGCACAATCAGTACTTTGAGTATGAATTTTAATTGAAGGAGTTATTAAAGGTATCAATCTTTGTAATAATAACCTATCTTTGGTGAGCGAACAAGTAAAAACAGGTTCTTGTACAACACTATTTTTCCATTTAACTAGCTCTTGAAGAGTAGTTGCTGCAAAGTTAAGTTTGGGTGTTTTTCTTGGTCTGACTCGCATATCTCCAAGGATATCATTACCCCTTAGTTTCAAAATTTGATCAACTGCAAAATTGCGGACTTCTGCATTATTACTAGATAATAAAGAGATTAGTATACTTTCATGGTTTGCATACCAAGCTCCTAACTGGATGTAGGGAGTCAAAATTTCTTTTATTCTATCAGGTTGCATTCTAAGAATCCTCAACTGAGACATTTATGTCAAAAAAAAGTTTAAAGTAAAACTGTAAACAAAATACGACAAGTAACTCTAGACTTTGAGAATTTTGATCATTTAAGTTGTGTTTTCTTGTCCACATAAAGACTATTCTCATGCCAGTAGTGAGCCATCTGGAATGACTTAAGGGGCCACATTGAATTTCTCTAAGGTTAGGTGACAATATACCAATCTTAACTGCTTTACATAGCTTGTAACATTGTTTCTGATCTGTTGACATATTTTTTAATATTGTTTCTGGAATGTCAACAAAGCTCTCTCCTTTCGGAAGAGCTTTAAATTGAGGATTATACTCCATTTTATTAACATCAGGAGGAAATTTTCCCACAGGACCTACAAATCCAGTACTACTTGATGTTGGTCCATCAATGCCTTCTATAAGGTGACGAAAAAATAATTCATTCGAATGAAGCATGCATATGGCCCAGTGGCACTTGTGACTAACAGCTTTTCAAGATGCGTTAAAGCACCACCTTTCCAGCCTGTGTTAACTGAAGTACTGTCTGCTCCAAGTACTAAACATGATTCAGTAAGATTATGTTGTTGCAGCAAAATATAAACACCCTCAGCAATCTTTTTAGCTGGCTTATCTAGATGATTAGGTGCAATTGGGGTAAAATGACCAAGATATCGAACCACCAGGCTCTATAGTCACAGTAATGTGCTGCTCTTTGATAATAATAGGATGTAGCTGTCCATTTGAATCATTTATCATTGCTCTTGTTGAATCTTTCCTTCCGTCAAAGTAAATGGCGATATTATCTGCTTTTGGAAGTTTTAAATTATCATTTTTCTTCGTAACTACCATGACCTTTTTTCTTGCTCTCGTCAACTTAGAACGATCACAAGCAAGGTAAAAGGACTCAGGGGTTAGAAATCTTGCTTCAATTAAATCTTGAAGATAACTTGTAGCAATTGCTGCAGTTGCGGCAGGTGAAATCCCAAACCTATAAAATAAGAATGGTTTATATTTATTTCTATTTATTTCTAACTCATGTTGCTGCTCAACAAAACAATAGTCAATATAATTAGCTTATACTATCCATAGCTATGTTTTTTATTGATATTGTGTTATATCTTGACTTCTTTTCTAAAAACCGTGTTACAAAGAAAGCATAGACACCTAATTTTTCCTTTAGCAGCCTTTCAACCAACACCTTAATTTCATTTTCTTGTTTTAAAGTTAAGTTAACATTATCTCGATTATAGTTTTCATTGAGAAAGCCAGAAAAAATATTTTTTTGATATTCTTTATCTAATTCCATATCTTCTTCCTAAAACCAAATTAAGACCAATATATATATATATATATATATATATATATATATATATATATATATAATATATATATATATATATATATATATATATATATATATATATATATATATATATATATATATATATATATATATATACATATATATACATATATACATATATATATATATATATATATATATATATATATATATATATATATATATATATATATATATATATATATATATATATATATATATATATATATATATATATTATTGTTATAATTATTATTATTATATGAAAAAAAAAAATACTTATTATTAAAAAATTATATTTACCTCGAAGAATGCTTGTTCCTCCTGTATTTTTTTAGTTCTTTTCTCGTAAGCTTATTTATCGCTGACTTTGCTCTTATACTTTTTTCTTAGTTTCATTGTCTCGATCTCATCACCATGTCCCATCAGGTGAAAAGTCTGACAGCATGTCAGACTTTTCACTTGTCTTATTTCTTTGACTGTATAACCACCTGAGCTCCATAGTCGGAATTTTTTTAGAATAAATACAGATGCAATTTATATGCGCTTTATTTTTACAATTTTTGGGGGAAGAACACCCAGACAGATCATGCTCGCATAGAAGTATTGTTTGAGAACATGTTATGAGGTCCATTAGTTTATCTAACTTTAATATAAGCTCTTCTTTTACTTTTGCCTTAGTTCTTTCCCATGCAACGTTTTCTACTTTCTCCCACAGTGTTTTTATTCCATAATAAAGCGATTTCTCCCCAATAATAACTGGTTGTTGAAATAAAATGTTTGCTTTTTTCATAAGAATGTACTTTTTCCTATAAGAATATACCTTTTTCTAAGAATATATATAAGAATATAACATAAGAATATACCTTTTCCTAAGCTTTAATATTATTTTTTTCAATAATATATGAAATTCACTGTACCCCAGTGGCGGATTAAGACTTCTTGGAGCCCGGGGCTATTTTTGTTTTTGGAGGCCTTTTTATGGGCTAGAGCCTAAAAATGACTAAAAAAAAATAAAAATAAGGTCCTCTAAAATTTTTGGGGGCCCCTAAATTTGCAGGGCCGGGGGCTATATCCCCCTCTAGCCCCTCCTCCTTGATCTGGCACTGCAGTACCCTACTGACTATCCAGAACAATGTTGCAATTTTTTGAAAAACTGCTCATTACTTTTTAG